AATCCTGCAACACCAAATGCTGCAACCAAATGCTGCAACACAACAAATGCTGCACATCTAAGATGCTTTGCTAACCTTTTCCTTTTTATCCTTAATTTCTTGAATGGGTCTGATGAAAACAGACAGCTGTTATTTTTTCAGGAAATATGTACTTAAATTATGTCATACAGTTTATATTTAGATTTTTCTTTCAGAAGAAAATATTGTCTCAGTCTGTATCTACATGTAGGTAAAGTGTCTTTGCATTTAAATTATTTATTTTTTCTGTAACTAGTAGTTATATCTTCCCACATTGTTTATTTAGTACTTAATTTTCTTTTTTTTTTAGGTTTTTTAACATTTTTTTAATTTGTGACTTTAATTTGTGGTTTCCTCTATAAGCTTTTAATATATAAAGGAAGCTTATTTTACAACAAATAAGAATTAGCTAATTTCACAAAACAAAAAGGGAAAGAACCCAACATATTAAGATGGACCCAAGATCTAAAATTTGCCTCCAAATGCAGTCTAGGACTTACACAGACACATAGTTTTAACTGTAAAAAAGTCCCACTGAAATCTAGGACAGGGTGTTTAGAACAGTTTTTGAGCATTGCTGTGACCAGCTGGGGTTGTGACAAGTTTGGTGCTCGAGCACAACACAGTTGTAGAGTGATTTTATGCCTTCTCTCAGTTGGACAAACTGCAGTCAAAGCTGCAGCAGAAGGATGCTGTGAGACACCTTGCTAAGCAGCCAGCTTGAGACCTGGGTGCAGCCAGCGTCACTCAGATTGCTTTCTCACCTTCCCTTTCCTCCAGAGCTAAATCAAAACTCACAGAGTCAGGAAAAGATTAACACATATGGAGCTTGGGAGCAGAAAGGCTGCCTTGTTCCTGATGATGCTTGCCTGGTTTGTGATTTAGAACACTCGCGATGTACCCAGCTAGATTTTTAAAGGACAGGCCAAGCATTAAGGGTTGCCATGCTTCAACCTTCCTCATGACATACTATGAAAGGCTGTGTAATTCCTTGAAGCAAAATACAGAGGTCACAGCCTCTGCTTCAGCAGCTGAAACCTGCTTGCTGTCCTCTAAACACTTGCATTTGGAAGAGGGTTTTTGATAATTATCTAAATGAGGTATGGAAAGTTCACGGGGTATTCATAGATAAACAGTGAGGACAGCTGGGTATAGAGATTAATCCAAAGGTGTGATCTGATGACCAAGTGAAAGGCAAGAGTATTCTATAGATTGTGGACCCCAAAGTTGTTCTTTATCTTTCTTCCAGAAGAACTTGTGATCTCCTAGAAAAGCAACATAAAATAAGCAGTTCTTTCTCTCAACAGCCTATAATCCTAAAGTACCTGTCACATCAATGCTACAAAGAACTACTTAATCCCTGTGGGTTTAGAATGGTTTTTACTTAGTATTTTACTAAAAATGCTTTTTACTTAGTATTTTACCACTGGTAAACTCTTTCATTTAGTTTGCAGGGCCAGATGGATTCTTTACCTTATGGAACAACAGAGCGGTTAATTTAACTCCTCTCCAAACTTTTGCCATATATACATATGCCAATACACATACATGGGAGGACACCTTTTAGCCTTTCAGATCTCATAACAAATGTAATAATTGAACTGTTTTCCTGACATGGAAAAGCTGAATTCATATATTTCCTGTCTGATTCATTCCGTGCCATTCATTTTGATTTAAAGAAAGTCTGTAGTAACTGGAACTAATGCAAATTCTTTTGCTTTTTGATAAATACAGTAATCCTCTATTTTCAGATCACAACTTTCTGATCTGCAAACTTCATGCTAGAGTAAGAAACTTTTTTTTTAAACTTTTGTTCATGTGTTTTGCCCATGTTTTTGTCTCTGCAGTGATCATTGCAAGGAGTGCTAGTCTCACTTTGAGGTTTGAAAAAAACTTCAAATCACTGATCATTTGAAATCTCTAGTAAAGAAATAAAATATAGTCTGCAATTTTTTCCTTCAGTTTAGAATTTTTGACTGCAGAAAATTTGTTTTCAGGAATTATAAAAGTTTTTATCTTGATTTCAATGTATTAGATTAGGTCTTATCAATGAATAATTCAATCAGCATTAGAAACCAGTTGGAAGCTTAAAAAAAATCCTGGTTTTGTCTTTAAGTTATAATGCATACAGTAGATATCAAATTAATTATCTGTTTAAGGAAATATGTTTTCCCTTCTACACATCCATTGAGTTAAAGACAGATTTATTTACTTAATGAGAACTATTTTACAGTGTTTTTTCCTTCATTTGTAAATATGTTAAATGTGTTTATAAATATTTTCTAACACAAATACTGAAACAAAAATAGTATTCACCTAATGAAAAGGACTTAAACCACACACCATAGTCTAACATTCTGAAATGTTAAAAGGATGAAGTTAAATTATATTAAATTAAAAACCTGGCTAATTGAATGGGCAAAGATAAAAAAACTCTTTCTGATCAGCAACAAACACAAAATGAGCAGCTTACTTAGTAGGATGCATTTAGTCACATATTTTACAGCATACCATCCAATCGAAAAAGGGAATGCTTTCTAAAGGGCACAAAAGGGACAGATGCAAACAAAAGCAGAAGATAACTTGAACCAAGTTAACCTCCTTGAAGATTTAAATCATTATTAAAAAAACAATTTAAATCCTTAGGAATTAAATCAGATCAATGAAAGCTTTGGGTTTGCAAACTTTTCACACGTATCACAGCGAGACCCTGACACAGGCCTGCAGTACCAGTGATGGCTCATCACAACTTCTCTCACTTTGGAGCTCTCTCCTGGTAATCAAGCTTGACAGGCACCCCTGTCAGCCACACAGTTTAGCTCTGGGCCACAGCTGGATTTCCCCCATAGCATTTACAGACTCTGCCATCCCAGAGGCTGTCAAGCTGTGACCCACTTTAGGGTGATGGGTGACACAAGGCTGGGAGCAGCATTGCTGCCATGGCTGCTGATGCCCAGAGAGATCTCTGCCCCTGCTAAGCCTAAAATCACTGTTAGGCAGCAGTGAACAGCCCCCAGCACTCATAGCAGAGAAATGAGACAAAAAAAATTTTCTCCCAGGGTCTGCAGTGACCAGTCTTACAAAGATGAGCATGGTCTTCAGATTCAGAGCTATTGGCTGGACCTCTCATGCTCCTTACAATGAGGAGGTCCCTGTCCGTTCCTACCCAGGATTTCCTCATGACTGGAAAGCAGCAAGTATCACAGAAAACATCAACCAAATTTTGGCTGGACAATAACTAACCAGTGTTTACCCTTTCTCAAATATTTCTGTCTGAAAGGGAGCTGCTACAATGGTTGCATCAAGGGAACTTGGAGGGAATGGCATCCCCAGATTTTGTGCCTTTCTTTTTCTGTTTCAAGGCAGTCAATCTGCTGCAGGTTGAGTTTCTGTAGCAAAGAGAGAGAGCTACCTGTAATAAAGTTAACCATGGGGTAGTTATGGTGGAGGTACGGAGCCAATTTCTTTGATGTTCTAGATGTGTAACCTGGAATGTGGTGATGATGAGCCCTCTGGAATGTCCTTTTTACTGTAAACCCACCAGTTTTAATTCATTGCCTGATTTGTTGAGCTTGAAAACTGGGTAAGAACACAGTCCAGATCTCACAAAACCCTCCAGTCAAGGGGCTGGTTCAATAGCTGACTATACAATAGAAGAAGTCTGTCTGGTTTTATTTCTGGTAGATGAAGTCACTTTTTGAAAAATTGGATCTATAAAACTGCAGGGCATGATACAACGATAATAAATGCATAGAAGCTTTCATATTTATTAATTGCACATATTATAAGATAGAAACCAGCCAGAGTAGTTTTCTAAATTGGGATCAAGATTTTTTAAAGCAGCAGCTCTTTCAGTGGCAGATTCTCATACAAAACCCACCAGTAAAGTTTCTGAACATCAAGAGACTAAAAACTGTGTAAGTATTTGAGACAAGGTAACAAGACTATCATGTGAAATTTATAGCTGCTTTAAATTACCTTGTTCATACAGGCAAAGATGGACATTAAAGAAATAAAAAAAAGTGCAGGGAGTGACACTTGTAAAGTCTTTTTCCAAACCAGTCAGTAAAGAACACTCAGAAATTAAGTGCAAGCTTCTATTTACTGTTCTGAAACATGAATGATAAATAACACAAAACTGTTCTTATTCCTAGCTTAGAAAGTAGAAACTGAGGCACTGAAAATATGTGTAGCTTCTTTAGAACTGCCAAAGGACTTGGGAATACAACTCTTGTCCTTGCTCTCAAGATTGCCCATTAGTTTTCCAGACGTGGGAGATGTTAGTGTGATGACTGTATTTTTTCCCTTAGAGTGAAAGGCAAGTCTCCTCCCACACAATTTTCTTGGTATTGTTTGTTAAATTCCTTCTCGTGGCTGTCAACAGGGCATTTAAAAAACAAAATATTCTGTGAATTTAAAAACCAAAATACATAAAGGAAAAGCTATCCCACATGGCAGGTATAAAAAGCAACAGTTCTAAGGATTCATGCAAATATTAAAATGTACCTCCTACAGTTAACCTAGTGTTATTCATGGTTTCTGTTACACTGTCCAGAGGTGTTTCATTGTTTCCTACAAAAAGGATATTTGATTTTTTTCTTTTACTTTTATCCCAGTAATTAGTCCTGAGTGACATTTAGAGATATGCGGACTAGATACCCCAGTGCATTTTCTTTTAATGGTCCTTGAATTAGGCTCAATGCTAAAGGAAAACGTTTCCCTGCACCCCTGCCCTGTATTTTTAAATGAATGTTGTCCAAATAGCATTGCCACTCAAATCTTACAGCAAAATTCCTCATATGTTGATACTGCAATGTGGGAATCTCTAAAATTGTCCCCCGTAGGTTCCAATTCAGCCCCTGAAGGTTCACTTGAGTTTAATTTCACTAATCACACGGGGACAGTTATTTTTTGCTCTTGCTCAGCTTCTCTTTCACTTGCAAGCACACACACATATTCACTCACTCACGCTGTATCCCTCCCTTTCTGTTGCACTTAAGTCCAGATTCTCTCTGGCCATTCCTGCTCACGAGCGGAGAGCGACACAGCACCACGGTGCCTAAAGACCACAGGTGGGTCCTGTGCTTCAAGCCAATTTACTCACATTTGCGATGGTAAGATTGATTTTTATCCTGCATTTCTGAGTTTATTTAACTGATTTCAGAAATTGCCACAGAGGTGGGGGGCAGAGATCGTCTTCAAGGTTGTTGTCATCCAGAATTTTATGTCCTTCATTTTCTTTCACTCTGTATGCCTGTCACATCGGCTTAACTGTGAGCAGCGTACTAGCCAGTACCTCTGGCATACTGTATATTAATAGAATATTGATATATCCCAAATACTGTTGTGGGATTCATCATTTGGTAAATCCTCTGCCGTCTGCAGTTTTACAGAGCTGTTTAATTAGCAATTTTACAACCTCCTATTCTCTCATTAAATTAATTAATAATTAAGTTCAAATATAGGCATCTTTAATGTCATAATTATATTTCAGTTTTATGGTCACCAGAGTTTAGCTCATTAGGCAAGGTAGTCATAAACCATAGCTCTATTTAAGGGCTGAGGCACTGATGCTCAGGTAGTTTGCTTGTGTGTGGTTTTTTTATCCTTCTCACTTTCTCCTCTTCTTCCCCTGTCTCCCCCCTCCTCCCCCTGATTCTCCTGCTCCACTCCCTCTCATTGCTCTCTGCTAACATTGGCAGGTTTTATTTTCCCTGTGGCAGCTCTTTCTCATTCATACGCTATGTTAAAAAAAATCCCTGTCACACACCCTCAGAGCCCTCCCCTCCCTGTTACTTTCTCTGTGGTGCTGTGCAGCGCTGCTGGCCTGCTGTGGGTCTTGTTTCCTTGCAAGCCCTAGGGACCATCACCTCCAGTGCTGGACACCCAGCAGTAGCAAATTTTGTGTAGCATCCTACCAGGGATGTTGTATTCCTTTTTGACTGTGAGATTTACCAAGGCAAGGGATGTAATAATGACATTTCACACAGTATGGTATGTTGTGCGTTGTTTTATATGTAGTGGATTTATTTCCATCATTATCACTGATTAAACCAGCTTAGTTGAAAAGGCAAAGCAAAACTTGGCTTTGAAATTGTTCTTATTTAATTTTGTTTGTGCTCACATAACCCAGGACAGCACTAATTATCTCTTTAGTGTAGCTCATATTTCTAATGTAATTCATATGTAAATTGTAATTTGAATCATATGGGAATGTTTGTGTTCCTTGCATATTCTCAGTAAAGAGCACAAACAGTGAATTAAAACTGTTTGGAAATGAAAACTTTATGTTGCCTTTTTTGAACTGTCTTTGATTTCTTTTGGCTTGCTGTTTCTCTAATGAATCATGATTCAATTGGATGGCTAAGGCCAATGCGTTTAGTCTCCTCTCTATGTATTTATGCAGCTTGCTCACTGGCCTGCTTGTCCTTCTGAATTTGGAAGGCGGGGGGGAAGCTTTCTGCCTGCTCACTCTCTTCGTGAAAAAACATCATAAAATGGCTATTATTATTAATAAATTATATTTTCTATGACTAGAGAACCTACGAGCATGACATGGCACTATTTGTGCTCCTTTGCTACTCAAACAGAGCTGTGCCAGAATGTTTTTTCTGGTAGCATCTCTGACTGACATTAGGTTAAAATTTTAATCCCAACCCAAATTTTCCATCTAATAACCTCAGCATATTTTTTTTTTGCTTAATGCAATATATGCAATATTACTGTCCTCTCTAAAAGCCGCTACCGTCCATAATGAAGCGATATTTTCACAGGGCAAGTCAAAATTTATTTGTGTCAGTGGAGTACAGGGCAGTTAAAGTTGTTCCCAAACTTCTGAAGTTTCAGGACAGGTTTGCTGCTGGGAGCTGTAGTACACTCTAACACCAAACACAGAACTAAGGTGGGTGCCAGGAAGGTGGGTGTGAAAGCCTGAAGAGCCGTAGGTAGCAGGGATGACTGTGCTACCAGCTCCTGTGGAAGAGAAGATGAAGCAAAGGACCTGAAGGAAACAGGAAGGCTAAAAGTTCCATTGGAAGAATAATTAGACCTAAAGAGCTAGCAAGGTAGTGAATGATGATGCCAGCTACACGTTTCTTTGCCCTTTCTATTTCCTACCTGAAGTCACCGCATTAGGGAAATACTGAATGCGTTTCTCATCCTGCCAACACATATCTTTGCCCGGCCCATAGCAAATGAAATTAGCTGAGCTGTACAGACAGACAGATGTACCAGGCCCAATTGTCATGAATTTGCCCCAGAAAACTGTGCCCTGACCTGCCACTGGCCACACAGGAGTGTGTTTGCCGCAGTTCCCCAGGTTTGATGCAGGAGACTCGTGACATGATGGCCCTGGAAGCGTCTTCCCATGGACAGGTGCTGCTCAGGCTGGTATGCAAAGCCTTCAAAAGGGGAAAAATCCTGAACTCCCTGCCAGCCTCTCTGTTGTTCATGGGTATTTACTGTGGCCAGAAGAGAGGTAAGGCTTTGAGGACGCATATTTGTGTGTTAGTCCCTGCTGCTGTAATGCCGAGCTCTGGGACACGTAGGAAACATTGCACCCGCCAAGAAAGAGGCAGAGGCACCAGTGAACAGGCACACCTGTTTTGCGACATCCAATCTTCCCATTGGGAAAAGTGCTCCCTAATTTAGAGTAACCATCTTTCTCAGCCTTTGGGAACCCCTTACAGACAAGCTCAGCCTGTCGAGGTGCAGCATCAGGGTGCTGTGTAGCGCAGCTGAGCAGACCATGACCGGGGCAAGCAAGAGGGACCACTGGTCTGGTTTGGCTGTGACCACAGAGCCCTCCAGGAGCCAGGTGCCCTCCAGGGAGGGACACTGCCACATTTAGGGCATGCATTTAAAGCACATGTGCACACACATGCACGCACACACACTCCCCGTGACGACACCAGAGCTGTCCGAAACTATTTTCAATAATTGATTTGCTGTTTAATTGAACATCATGACTGACTAACATAGCTCATTACTTTACTCATTAGTTAATTATCAAAGAAAGTAGGACAAGTCAATAAAATGAAAGGCTGTAAATTCCAATACTAATTAGCACCATTTCCTCAGAGACATATTTAAGGGCAGATTGGCTACCCAAATGTCCCTGGACCTCGTAGATGAAGGGAAAGGGTAGACTTACCATAAATCTAGATTACTGGCAAGCAAGGCTCCTCAGCAGAAAGCAGTCAAGTACACAAGTGGTGAGCTACCAGCAGGTACCCTATTTGAACTGGAATATTGGAACACCAGCAGCAGAGAAATTCCTATTTTTAAAAGAAAAGAGGAGGGGTGGGGGTGGTGAGGGAGGGAGTGCTCACACACCAGAGAGGATCCATATTTAAAATAAATTATGCAAAGTGAACTACTTCTGCAGAGCACATTTGCTTTTCCAAGCTGGCTTTCCTGGTCTCTTTACAAGCATACTCCTATCCTCTTTTTTTGGTAGTCCAAATCCTATTCAAAATATCAGAGCATCCCTTCAGAAGTGGACACATTTTAATGTGAGGATTCTAATTTGTATATCTTTTTTATTTTCTTAATAAACTATTCAAGTAATGGAAATTATATTCTCTTGTTATTGCTTTGTAATATCTTTGTATTATCTGTCCTCTCTATTATCTCAAAATTATTATGTCATGTTTAAGAAAAACCCTTTAATCGAAAGCAAGTCTTATATACCATCTGAGGCAGAATTTAATGGGTCCAGCAGAGCCTTAAATGAACCAAAAAGTGATTTGAAATGAAGAAGGATAGACCCAAAGAAGACTGGGAGAAAAGTAGACTAAGAGAATGCATGTATGTGTATGCATGTTTGCATGCAGTAAAGTAATTTATACATGCATGGGCACACACATATATATATGTACACATATATATCTTATACTTAAATAAAAAGTGTATGCATGTATATTTAAAAAATGCAGACACATACATACAGCCGCACACATGAAATACGCCTATATAGGGTTCTTATTGCTCAGTGTGGGTAAATTATCAAATTCCTTGAGTTCTGAAGTCTCAAAACCTACAGGTATTTCTGTCTTCCTTTACAAACTGATAAAAGAGAACTCAGACTATAGAAAGGTTCTATTGATATACTGGTGCACTGTTCAACAGTTTGTCTAAATTTTTTATAAAAAACAGAGAGATCAATACAAATATATTTCCTTAATTCCTTTTATTTGGAGGCATATCCTCTGTGTCTTCCTCTCAGCAAATACTCACTTGTGAAAAATTAATTTCCAGTTAGGTGAGTGGAAATGGAGATCAAAAGTATCACCTGAGCTCAACTTAAGGGAAAAAATCACCCTAAGAATAGCTCTCGGTCTGGAGCTTTAAATATTCAACATTTCTAAAAATATATTAATGGATTAATGTAAAAAAAGCTAACAAATGTCTGTTACTTGACTTGCTATATTTTGTGCCTGCAGTTCTGATTATTAAGACACAAGTTGTGGTTTATTTTCAGTTGTTTTTAAAAGTATCTTGCCAAAGTGTTCCAAAGATTGCATGAAGTTTTTAATCAGCAGTTTTAAGAATATAACTCTGGTGCTAATAAATCAAGACTGAAATTTAAAATTAGGGAAGAAGGGGGATTGTGGTAGTCTTATTTAACAGAAAGGTCCTGGAAGAAAAAATGGAAGGAAAATTCTCTATTTATTTCGGTAAAATAAAATTTTAAAATAGTATTTTTAAAATACCATTTTAAAATAGTATTTTATTATCCATTTTTGGCAGGGGATATTTGTTTGGGATGTTCTCTTTGCATTAGTGAAGGAATAAGGAAAACACCACCATGAAAAAACCGATTGGTGAAGAAACAGAGAGGAAAAGATTTTCCCAATTAGCTGTTCATTCACTGTAGGCTGAAGCACAAGGTATATACAGCATGCACAAGCACTGCACACTTGCTAGGAGATGGAAATTATAAAGGAGAACATTCAGAAAAGCAGGAGCTGAGATGTCTTTCTTGTTTCCAGACAAAAGTATGCCAAGAACCCTTTGATCCTGATAATTTCTTTTTTTTTTTTTTAATGTTTCTGGTTAGATCATGCTGGATCCCTGGTTGTGCTTGAACACCTTGCCTGCAGGGCCTTGGGAA